GTGTCCGTAAGGATTGGCCGACAAGTATCTTTCGATACCTGAAGTCACATTCGTGACAAATATAGAGTGAAATAGCCCATGAATAAAAGTGCACTTCTTGGGTTTGAGTAGTGCTGAGTTGGGTGACCTACCAGAAAGTCTAAACTCAAGAGTTTACAATTGCACTGTTGCAAGTGTTGCTGAAGTCATTAATTTTTTCTTCATTTGGTTTATGGATTGTGAGTGGGTATTTACAAATCTCAAAGACCTATTGATGACTCCTCCAATTTTCATTCTACCTTTTATTTTGCACATGGATGTTTTTGATATTTGTCTTGGAGGTGTGTTGATGCAAAAGAGTTTGAGTGTGCATGGTCAACACTATCCCATTGCATATATCAACTATACATTACAACCAGTGGAGGTGAATTACTCTATAATAAAGAATAAGTGTTTAGTAGTAATTTAGGGTTTTGAGAAATTTCATGCATATCTATATAGGTCCTAGACTTTACTAGAAGATTATCATGCTGCAATTACTTTATTATTGAAGCAGAAGAACTCAGTTGGTTATATTGCTTAGTGGGCTTTGAAGCTTCAGATATATAATTTTGATGTTATTCATTACTCAGGGAGTTCTATAGCTGATGCTGATGCCCTTTCTTGAGCTCCTTTTCCTTTTTTGCTCTCTTTTCATATTTCTAATGAACCTATTATTCCAACATCTGTGAATGTTTTGGATTAAAATTCCATGCTATTGACTATTGTTGTATTTGATGTTTAGTGTCTACAAGGAGTAAAACAAGATTTACCTTTTCATGATGAGGTTTGTGAGGCTCAAAAGATTGGGTCATGGATTTGAAGGCTTTACGATGGGTTTGAGAATCTTATATAATTTGTTGATGACTTACTATTTTGGTATTTACGCTCTCAATATTTGTTGTGAATATGGCTGCAAGTATCAAAAGTTACATATCAACTAGTCATTTCAAATATTCTTTCCTTAGTATTGTTGATTCCCTTTCCAACCCTTCTTATTTAAGTGTTAGTAAATTAGTCTTAGCATTTGTACTTAGCCAAATGAACATAACATAGGAATTTCTATGTGTTTATTTTTAAGCATACTTGACCTGACTTTTAGTTCTCTTTTGCTTTGTTTTCCACTAGCTTTCAAAAACCCTCATATATTGATACTAATCCCTTAATATTGCCAGATGATAGCTTACTATATTCTCCAAATACCCTTGCTATTATGCTCTATATATTGGTTTTATTCGGTTCTATTGGCTATTTAAAGAAAGTGTTTAGATTTGCTAATTTTTCATATCTAGAAATTGTCCTAAACACAATGGTGTTGGCTCTGTATCCAAATTCACAATTTAACACCATTCTATATTCTATAAGTTTCAAGTTTATCCCGAAGACTAACTCTTGGTACCAATAGTGAAAACCTAAAGCATGCATTCTGCTAAGGGGGGAGGGGGCAACTTGAGGTATAAAATAGCTTCCACTTGTGTGTACTTGTTCTGCATCCAACTTGGGTGTAAGCCTAAGTTCTATACCATATTAGCTGGTAGAGTACATATATCCTTGTATTAAGCCATTAGTATGCTAAAATAGCATTAAACTCTTTTTGTGTGAGACACAAATTCTTAAGCCCCAAAGTGGAGCCAAAAGGGTGTCATATGGTAATGGCCAAAGCAAAAGCCAAATGAGTGTAACATGTTTGGACTAAAAGTTCTAACTTGAAAAGTCAAAAGTGGGAGTGGAACTCCCAAAGAAGGGCTCAAGAAACGAGCTCGAAGCAAGCAATAAATAAGTCTTTAGAAAAGGGACACAAGAGGACCAACACATGATATGTGGAAGTGTTGAGATGGACCTGAGATAGAATCTGAGATGGACCCGAAATAGAGTCTGAGATGAACTCGAGATGGAGTATGAGATGGAGTCGAGATGAAGTCCAAGATGGAGTCCAAGATGGACCCGAGATGTAGTCTGAGATAGACCCATGATGGAGTCCAAGATGGACCTAAGATGGAGTTTGAGATGGACTCGAGACATAGTTCGAGATGGAGTCCAAGATTGAGACCGAGATTGAGACCGAGTCCAAGTTCGCAACTGAGTCTGAGGCCGAAATCGAGTTCGAGTCCGAGTCCGAGTCCGAATCCGAGTTTGAGTTTGAATACTAATACAAGCTGTTGGGTGAAAGCCCAAAGCGATTGTCCCCCAGCAAAGGCTGTAGGGGGTTCCAAAAGTATAATAGGGAGAGTGTGGGGGTTGGACCCCAATGGAGTCAGTTTGGCAAGGAAAGGCCAATATGACCTAGGAAGGTTATGCCCATATGTTGGGTGATGATATATCCACTGAGGAATCCAAGGCTAGAATGAATACAAACTTAAAAGCGGGGTATTTTAGTGAATTGTTCAAGAGCCAGCTCTAGTTCCCTTAGGAGATTGAATGGTTAATACTCCCAGTCCAAGTGTGGATAACACTACTTATTTGGATACCTAGTGTGGCTCAACAGAACTTCACTCTAGCCCCATGGTTAGAGCACCCAAAGGTGAAAGTTGGGGAAAGTACCCATGAGGCTCATGTAGGGCCACGGTGTTCCGAAATGTTATCCCAAAGTCCCAGATTGTGAAAAGGAAGAGGAGCAATCCTTTGGTTTAGTGACCAAGGATATGGTCCTATAGTGAGGAAGTGCCAAAGGACAATGGGATTTAGTGGTTGGGTCTATAGGCTTTGACTCAATGGCAATGTTAGCGAACACAGCTATGGACAAAAAGGGACTTGGTGGGGACCAAAAAAGAGATATTGGGGAAGGCTGTCCCCCATATTTGTGGGCATCCTAAGGATGCTAAAGAGTGGATTTAAGATGATCATTCATGGACGGATGGCTTAATTTTTTAGGGTCGGGACTATGATGTAGGTGGTGTTGGATCACCAGTGTGACAAGGGTGAATGGGCATGGCTTTAGCATAACATACATTTGGGTGTCAATCATAGGATTGGACATTGTAGCACTTGGACTAAATGTAAAGGTTGAGTGGCATGGATGCCATTCTTAGGGCTAGCAAGCCCTAAGTCTAAAATAGAATTTATGGAGGTTGTGAGAGAGACTCCTTCAAGTGGTTGGAGGTTTGGTTAAGTGACTATTGTAAAATGGAAAATTTTGTCGCTTACAGTTTGGCTCCATTTTATGTGTTGGTCTTAGCATTGGAATATTGAATACTCTAGAACTATTCCTATATCGTTTTGTGCTTTTGTCCCTTTATTGTTTGGGTTGAATGCACAAAAGTCACTTCGTGCTTCAATTCCCTTGCTCTTTAGTTGCAAAATTGGGAGTTTTAGCTCTACTCCTTCGTTTAGTGGCCCAAGGCCTTGAAACTTGGGTTTCATTTTGCTGTCCTTGGACACATGGCATGTGCACATGGCTTGTGACATGTGGCATATAAAAGGTTTAGATTCTATTTTGTGGTTATCCTATGGTAAATCACCATAAGATAAAAGGTGAAAACCACGTATGCTACAATATCACCTTATGAATGGTCTTTCTTATTATGTGGGGATAAATTTTGGTGATTATTATGGCTAGTGGTGCTTTCAATCTTTATTCCATGCTTTCTCCATACCTACTATGATTTTCCGATTCTAAGTGGGTATATAGTACATCTTTGTGTGATTGAGAAGCTGCACAAGTCCTTCTATTAATCAGAGATGCCACATGATGTTATTTAGTATGTATATAGTTGCATTTAATGCCAAGCTCGTAATACTCCCCATTATGTTGCAAAAGGACGGTTAAAGTCAATTGTAATTTCCCATCCATTTAAGTTGGTGGCATTTGATTTGATGGGGCATTTTCCACGGTTAATTATTTGGCAATGAGTGTGTTATTATTGCTTCTGACTACTTAACTCATTGAGTGAAAGTTGGTGCTTTGTTAATGTGTCTGCAATTGCTATTAGATACTTCTTCCTTAATTGAGTGGTGTTTTAACAGTTTTGTTCGAAGTGAATTCTTTCGGCTAATAGTCCCACATTTATGGTTGAGGCATTTCATGTTTTGACGTCTCGGTTGGGGATATGCCACACTTTCACAACTGTTTATTATCCACAATCAGATGGTTTGGTGGCACAACTCATTTGGACCTTCAAAGAGATGATTGTGAAGTATATAAACTTTTAACATTTGGATTGGGATGGTTATTTGCCATCTCTTCAGTATATATATATATATATCATAATGGTGTAGAGTTTTGTTATTGCTTCACAATAAAAATTCCTATATGGTCATGATTTAATACTACCAATAGAGTTGAGTTTACCTTTGCAATTGCTATGAACTGTCGATGCTAAGTCTTGGGATCAATATTTGATGAGGATTCTTCCACTTATATGAGTAAAGTCTGCTAAACATCTGGGCTGTGTACAAGTGGGACAACAATGGCACAATAACTCCCATCATCGTCCATCTATAGAATACAAAAGTGAATAATTTAATGTTAGTCTGTTTTCCCAATTTTATGGTATGTGGTTTATCTAAGGGGCTCCTTGTTTAGTAGAAAGGACTATATTAGATATTGTAACAAGTTAGACCCTAAATTTATAAGGTTTAATATGATGTTCAACAAGTCAATCTTTTAGAAATTATGCATATGCAATAGTTAAAAGGCTTCATATAAAAAGATTAGGAAAAGCTAGTATCACCTATATATCCACTAATGCCTCCTCCTGATGTTTCTCTTTATTCTGACATGTCCATTATATAACCTTAATTATCTTTTATCATTCCGAGAGAAAAGGATAATATGAGGCCCAAATTTACAAATACAATGCCTTATATTAATATTAGTATAGTGGGATTTTAATAAATGTTATATTGGTTTCAATCCAAATCATTCCCTCCTGTATATAAATTAGGGATTTTGGATGTCCATTTCTATATTCCATTTCTATATTCCATGCACTTATACTTAATTAAATTTAAACATAATATTATTACATATTTTAAAATATAAATCCTAAACTTTAGTTTTAAATTTTAGTTTTACTTATTTATGGGAACAATTGCCAACAAAAGAATTGATGGCCTCTGTGAAAAGAATTTGATAGCCAGTTAGAAAATACCATGGCGATGGAGGTCATTAGTGGCATTCCTCTCGGCATCTTTCATTCGCTCCGTGAAAATTCTCCACTCAAGCCTACATCTCTCTCGCACCTACGAATGCAATCACGTTGTTAAAAGCAGTCCTAGTGAAGTTAAGGCCATACCCCTTGCCATGGTGGTTTGCCTCCTTGCACCGTTTGCCCCTGGAGCAAAAGTTTGATTGAAGAACTAAGGAGAAGTTTTGAGCTTCTTTACCTGAGATCCCAAAGAAGGCACACCCTTGTGCTGTATCCACTGTGAATCTACGACTCCAATCTTCTCGTGCGCCGGCTGTATGTAACCACAAACGAAAACGTAAGAACCTGGAAGTCAAATACACTAGAACTAACCTGTGCACATTTCTGAAGATTGAAGTCGAGGCCCCAACCGTGTACCAAATCGTTTTGTATCATATGCCACACGCATCTCCAAGCATTCCTGGAAAACACCGGAGCCATGATCTCCACAAATCTGCCAGAAACACCACTAAGAAATAGAAATCTATGTCCAAGTGAAAGCCAAGACTTACGCAGCACAAGGTGGCTTTTCCGGACCGTCTGCGCACCATCCTGGCCTTTCCTCAGCGTCCCTGCGAGCAAAAAACATCAAGCAATGATTTTACACAATCCAGATTTGGATTAGACGCACTTGTGAACCTCAACGTCACCCCTACGTTTTGTCATTTGCCAAGTCAAAACCCCGTCTACGGCAGGCTGCGATATTTCTAGTTGGTATCTTCTCACAAGGTCTACATACCTGCAGAAAAGAAAAACAGCAAACCATTGATCAAGCTTTGTAGCTCTTTAGCTTACTCCTGAGCATCGAAGTGTTCCAAGTCCAGATCTTCATCCCATATAAATATGAAGTCGAACAGCGCAACCACATCCGGATGCAAGAATCGTTTGGCATACCACCTAGAAAGCAACAGCAGGATGTGACAGGGCCAAGTTTTAACCCGAAGAAAGTTACCATTTCGTCTGTTTCCTAACGCTCACATGTACAGCGCGCTGAGACCACTCGTACTGATCCCATCCATCAGTTCGTCCATCGTAGTGAAAGAGAACGACGAACCAATCCTTGTCAAACTGCAAGCGCTGAATGAGTTAATTGAACGAACGAAACGAGCAAGGCTTACTTTTGAGACCGCTTTGTTTACCATCTCCCGCTGATCAAAACCGACTGTTACTGCCAGTAGATACTTGGGCCTGTGGACGATATCCTACAACAAAGAGAAAGAAAAAAAAAAGCAGGTAAAGCAACTTCGTTTACTTTTATCTCAGATGGAACTGGTACGCATGCATGGAGGAGAAAAAAAAAGGATCTGGAGCGCAGTACCTCATTTGGATCTCCCCACAATCTTCGCAACAAAAGATCCGTCTGTGGAACTATAATTCCCGGCGGTAGAGTCTCTGTACCAGAAGGCTTGATGTTCTGGAAAAGAAGAAAAAAACCAAGCTCTGGTGAAAATGGTGATAGATCTAGAGTCGCTCTCTTACCTTGCAAAACAAGGATTTCCGGCCACACTCCTCCACCAGAGTTCTCATGGACAAAAAGAAGCCAGACTGAAAAAGAAAGAAAAAGAGAAAGCTGTGAGCCAGAGCCAAACTTCGTGAGATCAAGATGGAGAATTACCCTGGAGAAGGAGACACCGACGAAGACTCCCACCACAATCCCGCAAAAAGCCGCAATGATCAAGCGCAGCGACTCATTTCGCTTGACAAGCACGCTGCCAGGAGAAGGATGATAGATGCGAGTCATCACACACAGATCGAGAATTGGCAGCACACACGCGCTTACTTGCGAGCAGTGGGGGGCATTCCGATCATGCGCCCCGCGCTTTGGAATCAATTCCCAGCTCGCCAAGCTTGGAATCTCATCAGCAAATCTGACCAAGAACCCTAAAAGATTGCCACGTTTTTCCCTCCTCCTGGATTAAACCCTAGAGCCGGCGATGCCGACGCGAGAATGTTGGAGATCGTGACGTGCGACGAACAATCCGCCGGATCCAGCCTCAGGACTAGCTCCGCGATTCGTGACGCGCGGCCGAGATCTCCCTGGCAGGAGCCGAGGAGCGATTTCCAGCCGCGGCCGCCCCCTTCTTCATCCTTATCGAGCAGAAACTCCTCGGCCTCGGCCAGGCGCCCCGATCGGCCGAGCAGATCCACAGCGCAGGCCAAGTGATCCTCCGAGGGTTGGATCCCAAAATCCGAGCTCATGGACGCCAGGAAACCCCAGCCCTTTTCCACGGCGCCAATGTGGCTACACGCGGAGAGCACGCTAACAAGCGTGACGCCGTTGGGCAGTATGCCGTCGAGCAGCATGCCGTGGAACACCTCCAGTGCTTTCCCGCCATTTCCACAGTGTGAAAACGAGGCAATGAGCGCGCTCCACACGACGACGTCGTGCCGCGGCGGCATACCGTGGAACGTACGAACGGCCATCTCAGTGCAGCCACACCGGCCGTACATGCTTAACAGCGCGGTACCGACGAGAATATCGCCCTCGATCCCTTCTTCTTGGGTGTGGCTATGGATGACTCGGCCAAGGACGAGATTCGTGATGGAGGCGGCGGCCTCGAGCATCGCCACGAATGTCACTCGATCCGCGGGCACGCCCTCCTGGCGCATCCGGTAGTAGAGATCGATGGCGTCGGGCGGGCGATCGTCGTCGAGGTAGCCGGTGATGATCGCGTTCCAGGAGACTACGTTCCGGATCGGCATCCGATCGAAGAGATCCCTGGCTTGATCCAGGCGCTTGTTCTGGGCGAGCGCGGCGACGATCGCGGTCCAGGAGACGACGTTCTTGCGGCAGCGCATGGATTGGAAGACTTCCAGAGCTTCCTCCGCCATGCGACACTTGCCGTAGAGATTGATCAGCGAATTCCCCACCGCGGCATCCTCGATCTCGATCCCGCCGCTGCTCGCAAGATCGCTGTGGACCGCGATTCCCATGGCAAGATCGCCCTGATGGGCGCAAGCATCGATCGCGCTCACCACCGTCACCTCGTCCGGATAGACGCCGTCGAGATCCATTCGCCGGAAGAGAAGGATCGCTTGCTGGGCGTGGCCGAATTGGGTGTGCGCTGTGATCATCGCGGTCCAGGAGACTTCGTTCTTCAGTGGCATTCGATCGAACACCATAGCCGCCTCTTGCAAATCCCCCCTTTGGGCATATGCTGTGAGGAGCGCTGTCCACGAGACCACGCTTGGATCCTTGATCTTATCAAAGCAATCTCTCGCGTCCTGGATGGATCCACACCTCCCATACATCGTGATGAGAACATTGCCCACCGAAACATCCGATTCCAGCCCCGATTCGTGGATCTTCATCCGCGCGATCTTGCCGTGGTAGAGAGATTTCAGGCTGGAGCACGCATTCACGGCGCTAACGAACGTGATCTTGTCCGGGGCAATCCCCTCGAGATCCATGCGCGTGAAGATCTCCAGCGCCTCCTCCGGGAGATCGTTCTGGGCATAGGCGGCGATCATCGAATTCCAAGACGCGAGGCTCCTCTGCGGCATCTTGCGGAAGAGGAGCTCCGCCTGGGCGATCTGGCTCGACTGCGCGTAGCACGCCAGCATCGCGTTCCAGGACACGACGTTTCGATCGGGCATGCGATCGAAGAGATCCCTGGCGCGGCCAAGATCCCCTTGCTGGGCAAACACGGTAAACATGATGTTCCAGGAGAAGATGTTGCGATTCCCGGCCATGGAGGAGAAGACGCTGGATGCGTCGGCGACGCTGCCGCATCGGCCATAGAGCTGGATGAGAAGATTGGCGAGATAGGTGCTGCTAGAGAGCCCGTGATCGATGATCTCGGCGTGGAGCTTCTTCGCCTGGGGCAAGCTCTTGCATTCGCGAAGAAGAGCCGCCCAGTGAGAATGATCCGTGGTGCTTGTCTCTCCATATTTCCTTCCCCCAGCTAGCATTTTTATTTCTTCCTTCCAGGGCCGCTAGGGTTTATCATTTTCGTCCAGGATCTTGGGCGAGCCAGCGCCCGTCTGGCGATGCAGATCTATCCCACCAAGTCGCAGCTCGTCTCGGCGTTCTGGCGAGGTATGGATCTATGGCAGCTCGATCGATTGTCCTGTGATCAATCGCTCGATTTCTTCCAGACAAGTATGAAAGGGAGGCAATGCGCTACTGGGACAAGTTCTACAAGCGCAATGAGAACAGAGTAATGGCTCTCTTTTCTCTCTATTCTTTCTTCCGGTCTCGCTAACAGGGCAATAGTTTTTCAAGGATCGACATTACTTGGACAAAGAATGGGGGAACTATTTCACGAACTTGGTAAGTTTCTAGAGTGTAGGTTCTCCTTTTTTTTTCTCAATCTCTTGGCATTTTTTTCTTTCTAGAATTCATCGCGTACCCCAAATGCCTCTAGCGCTGGAGTTGTGCTTGAGGTATGGAGTGGTTTACTTCATCCATTCTCGATTACTCTTTAGTAGGTTGGCTGTGGTGTAGGCAACACGATTTTTCCTTTGCTGGCGGAGTACCCCCACATATTTGTGCATGGATGCGATTTCTCTCCTCGAGCGATTGAGATTGTGAAGGTTCGGCTACTTTGGTTCTTTTCCACTACAGGAACTTCTCTCCTTTTGGTCTTAGGCACACAGCGACTATATCGACAGTCGGGCCAATGCTTTTGTTTGTGACGTGACATCGGAACAATTGACGGAACACATGCCTTCTTCGTCAGCTGACATTGTGACCCTGGTAAAGTTTTTGAGCGATCAACAATGAAGTATTGAGGCTTGGTTTTCTATTTGCAGGTGTTTATGCTTTCAGCAGTATCTCCGGATCGAATGTCTGGTGTCTTGGCAAACATCAAGAGAGTGCTTAAGGTCGATAAAACTTGAAACGTGAAGTTTTTGACACAGTGCTGTGCAGCCTGGTGGACATGTTCTTCTCAGGGATTATGCGGTAGGAGATCTGTCCGAGGTGAGCGCCTGGAACTAGTTTGGCTTGGGAGACACTGATATCCTTCTTGATATGCAGGAAAGATTCAGAAAGAAGGACCAGCAGATTAGTGAGAATTTTTTCGTGCGTGGAGATGGCACGGTATGGTAACATTGATATTGATTTGTTTTTTGCACGCATCTGACATGAGGCTTTAGCGCGCGTTTTATTTTTCCGAAGACTTCCTCTCCGAGCTCTTTATGAAAGAAGGCTTCGCAGTGGAGGCGCTCGACGTCGTTTGCAAGGTCGTGGAGAACCGATCCAAGGGCCTTGCTATGGACAGGTTTCACAGTGCTCTCTTTCTTTCCTACGACGATACTTGAACTTGTTCGTGTACTTCTCTTTCAGGAAATGGATTCAAGGCGCCTTTGTTCTCAAAGAAGAACCTGGAGAAGATGCATCGTGCTCGCTAGATGGCCTGGGAGAGGACTTGTTCATAGAAGCACCAGTTCCTGAGGTTGGTTCGTAACACTCGAATCAAAAGTGGTACTATCTAGTTTCTCGTTCCAGGAGACCGCGGTCGAGCTTGGGGACTATCGTATCGTTGCAAAGTCGATATCCCGCAGCCACCAGCACACATGCAAGAGCACAGGACTAATGCTGTGGGAATCTGCCCTGGCAATGTCCCAGCTGCTGCTACGATTTCCATCTCTTCTCCGAAACAAGACCGTGCTAGAACTCGGCAGTGGATGCGTCGGCCTCTGCTCGTTGCTAGCGTCGCTCTCCGCAAGGCATGTCCTCACCACGGACGCGGACACTCAAGCTCTCGACTTGCTCCAGCAAAACATCCAAGCCAACGCTCAAACTTTCCCTGTGGACAAGATATCCTGCCAGAGGCTGCAATGGGGTGACTGTGGCGAGATCTCCTCGGTTCTAGGCCGTTTCTCCGGAGGATTCGAGTTCATCTTTGGAACAGACGTGACTTACGTTGAAGAGGCGCTGCCCGCGCTGTTCGAGACCGCCAAGCAGCTGCTTTCTAGTGCTGCGAGCTCCAAGCCAAGCCTGCTGCTGTGTCATCTGGCCAGGAGGATCGACGAAGCGCAGATAACTTCCAGCGCCGCTAGGCATGGTTTTCTTCTCAAACGCTGGTGGCTTAGCACGGATCAAAGCCTTGCTGTCGAAGAACTTGGCATCGACGAGGGGTTTCACGCAGGGACTTCTTACAACGTGTCCTCTCCAGTGATGTTTCTTTGGTACTCTTATAATTCTCAAGACACTGAATTTCTCCATTGAATCAATTGTGTAGCCAAGATGAGTTATATGTTCTTACATATGAAAAAAATCAATGCCACAGATGTTTACAGAATGTATATATATATATAGAAAAACTAAAAAACAATAATATATGGATTAAAAAAATACTATTATCTCCAAAATCCCAACACATTCTTATATTTGTGATAAGACTTGTGGTTCACAAAAAAAAGTTTCAAACACCATAAGACTTTTATTAAATTTGGGAAATTGATAATCCTTATCATACTATCCTATTTCTTAATATCACTTGCTTACTCACTTGTTTATTCAATTGTCTATAAAGTTGCCTATAAGCTTACTTTAAAATTTGTGAGGAAAATGATGAATGCCTAATACACATAAAAGCTTTAATGACCAAACAACTAATAGTCATGTATAGACACAATAATGGTCCAAAACTGAAAGTGAAAAACAGTTAATTTAGTTCTAAATGGAAGCAATGTTATTATTAGAACAATGAGCAGGAAATGATTGTTAATGAAGTGGAAAAATAATTTAAATTAAAAAATTATATCAACATAAATCCTAATGATTTTTGTGAAGGAGATTACAAAGGTGCTATGGAAAAATATTGTGTGCATTGTATTGCTTTTCTTTTTCACACAGAAACTTAGTCTTAATGGATTTTTTTAAGACTTTTTCACAGTCTTAGTGGTCGTGTCTCTTTCATAGAAAATTTTGAATTAACAGTGGTCTTGAAGGATTGTCAATGGGTAAATGTATTGTTTGTTGTAATGGTGCTTTATGAACTATAATGTCTTTTGAAATTCCTTGTTTCAGTTCAAAATTATAATTTCAAGGTTGGTTTAAGCATTTGCCAATTGTATATGGAATTGCAATTAATTTATGAAGCCAATATTTTATATTCCTTAAAGTTTTTACAATGATATTTTCCTTCAGCAAATCATGATTTAGTGCAAAAATTTCTTGCTCTATGTGTGCAAGACGAAGAAATACATTGAGCACTAGCGGGCAGCATCGCTGGCGAGATCAATTGAGCAGGGATTTGGTCCCAGGAGCATAACTCAAGCATCCATGTCCTCCTTGTTGTTGACATTGTCCCCTGGATTATACTCTCCACCGCATCCACAACCATCAAGTTACAATAGTGTATTAACCTTTGCATCCATGGGTGATAATATTGAAGAGATGAGTGATGGTGGATCTTATTATTTCAAAATACATAGTCAAAGTGTATCATTCAATTGGAAACTTTAAATAAAAGGATAGTGAAGAAGTATAGTATTCCCAATTATATATTTTAGATTCGGTTTATTCTGTTTTCTTATTTCCCATAAAAGGTTTTAAAATAGTATTAGTCTTATTTTTATGCTCTTAATATGCTTTAAACTTATTAGCACTAAACATTATTCTAAAAACTACTCTCTCCATTACTCATATAAAATTTTACAACTATACTATAAACTATTTAAAAATACCAATTTAAAAAATTATTGTAATATTTAAACGAATCACTAAAACTTTTGCTAAAACAATTAAATTTTATTCTGGAATTTTTTCATATTTATTTTAAATTATATTTTCCAGTGGAGCTAGAATCCCAGCTAGCATACATCACTACTTTACAAACCCATATATTTGTGTCGAATTTGAAGTTTCACTGTGTAGTTTCTCTTAAATGTCTTTTAACATTTTATATAATTTGGCATATGGATTTATTAAGTAAAAAAAACATCTATTTCACCCATTAAATCCTTTTACATTTGTTTCTCATTCTGATGTTAGTAGCATGTGTTAATTTTTCATAATTATTAATAAAAGTAACTCTTTTATATTTCTCATTTGCAAAAATTGTTTTGAGTCTATGCATCATTTTACTCAAACTATGGAAATTATTGATTAGAGGATTCTCCACTACACTATATGAGAAAAAAATTGTCCACTCACATTCAAGCATAAAGCAATTGTTAAGTATAATGTAAAGTTTGTGTGTATTAAGAGAAAGAAGTGCTCCACCAAGGAGAAGAACAATGACTTGATTTATAAGAAAAGAGTATATTTGTTTGAAAAGAGTACAATTATTTTGGTTTACCCTTTATCAAAGAGATTAAAGTAGGTTCTAATTTGCTAGGAATGTGGTTTATCTTTCAAAGTTTCTACAGATAGGTGCTTATCCATTACATTTCATAAAAGGGCATTGGGAAATATGGAGTGAAAGTGAAGTCATTTCTTTTGAAATGGTAATGGTTTGAAGTTTCTTTCTGTAGCCTCTTACAATGCAACTAAATTCAATATGTGGTAAAGACCATTTGGAAAAATGGTTGTATACCTTTAAGTCAGTGATAGAAGTGCCACAATCTATGCTCTAATCCCTTACACAACATTTCTTACACAGCCTTGATTGTGTCTGTAGGAAAATCTAGGATTCCAGATTGATTTGTCTCTACAAAAAAACAACCTTGCTGCTAGCAAAAAAAAAAAAAAAAAACCAACCAGCAGTTTGTGCTTTAGTTTGGTTCTTCCAGGCCTTTTTGAGGGAAATAATAGTTCTTAGCTTCATTAATGCATTGTGTAGAGACGGGAAATCAAAATTAATAATTGATGTTATTATTTGTCTGTTTTGTAATATAAACACCAGCAAAATGAATATCAGACTTGAGAGTAAGAAACTTGCCTAGATGGCTCTTTTGCACCCATTTGTGTGAGTCTCATAGAGAGAGAGAAGTGAGTTTATAGGTCATTGGACTTTTCTTCTATCATGCCACGTCCATAGAGAGATGAAATTTATGCAGAGATTCAGTAGCTGGACAAGCAAATGAAGGAAGAAGGGTACCTCTAAGACACTAAAGTGGAGGGCATTTTTTGAATAAACAAGAAACAAATGTGACACATCCAATGCTAGACCTGCAAACCGAATTGTCTTAGTCCATCAACCTTGAGGTATGATTGAATCGCTTGTGCAATATAGGAAAGATATTCAACAAGAAACACATAGGAGTTCCTAATACTTTATATCTATTTAGCTAAGTACAAATGTTAATCCCAATTTACTAACACTTGAGCAAAAGGGGTTGAGAAAGGGAATCAACTATATTAGTCTTCTACTGTCATGGTAGTAAAGAAAGAATATCTGAAAGAACTCATTAACAAGTAACTTTCTATACCTACAATCACATTTGTAATAGTTTTATACCTTTATCTCAAGATTGCAAGACGTAGGCTCAAGAAAAGGTGATACACTATAACCCAACAAATTATAAAGAAGCTAGATGTGGCTATCAAGATGCATTTTAATAAGAACTTGCAAAAGGGAATTTAACTAGGTTTGGGTCTATATTTAGTAAGGGATTCAATTGAGAGAAAAGAAATTCAAAACAAGTTTCTCTAAAAATAAGTCCTTAGAGTTTAAGAAGAGTAAATCCAAAAAGCAAGCAAGTGGGGCCAACAGTATCGCTAATGTAACTTTGGGTATCAAAAGAAATTTGTCGGCTAGTCCTTACAAACACTCTCTCCTTACTGCCATGACAATAGGAGGTTGATACTACTGATTCCCTTTATGTTCTCCACCCAAGCTAATTAAAAAATTGGTCATCACATATGCACTTGATTAGATGAATTTCTAAATGCTATTAGTTAAATATACTTGACCTATGTAAGCAACCAAAGGGAACGACTCGAGAAACGATCCATTGGGGTTCAAATATAAAGGGAAAGGGCCCATGAACAAGAGTGCACCCCCTTTTTTAATCGGTTAAGGGTCTTGGGATATTTGGGGTTAAGCGTCCTTGGGTTTGAATAGTACTGGGCTGGGTGACATCCCGAGAAATCCAAACTCATGAGCTTACATTTGGTATCAAAGAGGTCTCGAGTCCGACTCTGTTGGTTGGCTAGGGGAATCGCACCACATGTTGATTGACATCTGGCTAGTCCAGTTTGCTCCCGCTGGGCTCGACCCGAGGGGTAGGGTGTCAAGAGAGCGGGGCTCTCAGGAGAGTTGTGGCTCTCAGCTTCCGTTCACGAAGGCGTGAACTTGCAGGGAAGCATGGTGGATTGTAAGCAACCAAAGGGAACGACTCGAGAAACGATCCATTGGGGTTCAAATATAGAGGGAAAGGGCCCATGAACAAGAGTGCACCCCCTTTTCCAATCGGTTAAGGGTCTTGGGATATTTGGGGTTAAACGTCCTTGGGTTTGAATAGTACTGGGCTAGGTGACCTCCCGAGAAGTCCAAACTCATGAGCTTACAACCTAGTTAAAGAAATTCATTCGTTGACTTGCACTTATTAGTGTTGGGAACCCCTATGGTATTGAGTTTAGTCCCTCAATATTGTTATATGGTAGCTTACCGTTGTAAGGAACCAACTCCCTGAGCTGTTGTAGGCTGAAGGATCCTTGAAAGCATAACCAAAATGATAAAGAGTTCATCGGATAAGACCGAGTCCACGATCGAGTTCAATATCGAATCTGAGACATAGTTCGAGACCGAGTCTAAGATCAAGTCCAAGACTGACTCTGAGACTGAGTTTGAGACCGAGTCCGAGACTAGTTCGAGATTGACTTTGAGACTAAGATTGAGACCAAGTCCGAGACCAAGTTCAAGACTGACTTCGAGATTGACTCCAAGATCAAGTCCAAGACTGAGTCCAAGATCGAGTCTGAGATAGAGTCCGAAGTCAGGTCCAAGATCAAGTCCGAGTTTGAGGTCGAGTCTGAGATCGAGTCCAAGATCGAGTCCGAAACTGAGTCCGATTATAAATACAAGTCATGGGGTGAAAGCCCAGAGTGTGTGTCTCCCAAGAGGGGGGGGCTTTAGGGGTTCCAAAAGTATAATAGAGATAATGAGGTCTAGGAACTAGTTTTGAAGGAACTCTCCAGTGGTGCTTCCGAACTGACTTGAGGTTGAGATTGGGGCTTAGAGGCCTTTGGTGGGAGTGAGCATGGACTTAGGTGGTGCTGAAGGGGCCACCCAAGGAAGTGCTCAAGAGTAACTCCCACTCTCAGAAGGGAAACAAACTACAATGCTCTTAGCTCATGTGGAGTGGTGCCCCACTTGAGTACCTTGTAGCTCATTGGTCCTCGGGCATTCCC